CTGTCTGCGGACTGCAAGAGAGGGGCGTAACTGGAAGGGGGCGTAACTTGAACAAGGAGGCGTAACTTGAAGTTGTCCAAATCACAAAGAACTACGCGAGATGTCAAAACAAAATGTTGTTGGCAATATGGCCGCTTGTATAGAGACAACGGTGAGAATTTTTTTCGCGGCAACAGTGTTAAGTAGCCCAATTCCGCGGGAAAACCACGGACTTGGCAACACTGCTTATGAACCGCCCGCAATATAGGGTTTCCGATCGCGATCGACGGGTTGGCGACCACTGCACTAAATGATATCATTAAGATAGTGAGTACGATGAAACCTTCCCAAAGCCCTGTGGATATTTTGCCTACATCTCTGGTTATGAAATCCATTACATCTATTGGCCCGTGTTTGGTTTCAATTATAAACCTTTCTCTAAAGTTGGGCCAGGTCCCTAGGTGTTTTAAACATGCTGTTGTTCAGCCTCTCTTGAAAAAGAGTAATCTTGATCCAACATCTTTGAACAACTATAGGTCTATTTCTAAAATTGACTTTCATTTCTAAAATCTTGAAAAAAGTTGTGGCAATGCAGTTAAATACTCTTTTGGAGGCCCACAATATTTATGATAAATATCAATCTGGCTTTCGTAAAATCCATTATCCAGAAACTGCCTTACTTAGGGTCTCAAATGACATTTTGATGGCTGCTGATGCAGGTGATTGTTCCGTGTTGGTTCTATTAGATCTCAGTGCAGCATTTGACACTGTTGATCACTGCACTTTGATTAATAGATTGTATTCCCTAGTGGGCATTTCTGGGTCGGCTTTGGTTATCCTCCTCTCTGTATGACAGGAGTTTTTCTGTGTCTATAGGATCTTATATGTCGGATTCTGTTCCTTTGTCTTGTGGTGTGCCACAAGGCTCTGTGCTCCGCCCTCTGTTGTTTAGCCTGTATATGCTTCATCTTAGCAAGATTATTACCAGTTTTAAAATAATATCTTATCATTGCTATGCCGATGACATTCAGTTATATATTTCCTTTAGTCCTGATAGTCTAGATAAACTGTCTGTTCTACAGAACTGTCTAGTCTCCATTAACAAATGGATGGCAGACAATTTTCTACAACTTAATAACGATAAAACTGAGATGGTGATCTTTGCCCCTGACAATATTACGCCTAAGATTAAGCAGGCTATGGGGGGGTTTAACATTTTTTGACCGCAGTGACATAAGAAACCTGGGTGTCATCTTTGACAGAGCTATATGTTTTAACAGTCATGTAAAGTCTGTAGTTTGTTCATGTCTTTTCCAACTCAGGAACATTGCTTAGAATAGACCTCTGTTCTCAAAAAAAAGAGATGGAGATGCTTATTCATGCCTTTATCTCATCACGATTGGATTATTGCAATTTTCTGTATACTTGTTTGAACAAATCTTCTATGGAGAGGCTACAAGTTGTACAGAATGCAGCTGCAAGGCTTTTGACTAGTTCCAGCAAGAGGTCCCACATTACTCCTGTACTTAAGGACCTTCATTGGCTTCCTATTGCTTTTAGAGTGCAGTTTAAAATTTTAGTTATTACTTATAGAGCCTTGCATGGTCAGGCACCCTCCTATATTCAGGATTTATTACTTGCACATTCTCCTGGTCGGTCCTTAAGGTCTTCTGACCTGGTCCTTTTAACTATTCCTAGAATACGTCTTAAGGCAAAAGGTGATTGTGCTTTCTGTGCTGTGGCTCCGAGGCTCTGGAACTCTCTCCCGCTAACACTGAGAACTTTGGGTCATTTGTGTCACTAGCACTTAAAGGGGTCATGAACTGGCTTTTTTATTATTTTCTACTGTTGTCTGAGGTCCACTTATGACGTTTCTGTGGTTTTCACAATCAAAAACATCAAAATCAATAAGAATAGGCTATTTTATACCCTGGTTTTGAGGCCAGATCGAGAAATGCTCGGTTTTTATGGCCATGCCGCATTGAAGTAAACGCCCACTGCTATGATTGGATAACAGTTTTGCATAGTAAACTAACTACAAACTAACTTCATAGTTGGAGCCTTCCAATAGAGTCTGGCTGCAGACATGCACTCTCAGACACACGCACGCTCAGGAAAGGGTGGAAGTCAATACCTCTACATTCAAGTCCATCAGCCAGTCCTCAGTCTCTTTTCCCTCACCCTCAGACCCCAGAGGGTTAAGCCAAATTCTTGGCGTGTTTGACACACATGCTTCACAACCGGTTGAACAAAAATGTTCTCATCAGCGTTAATGAAATGCAGGTTCGATTGTAGCTTTTGATAGGAAACAGAGATGTTCCCTTTTACAGGTTCACTCAATGCTGCATCAGTACCAGAAACTATGAGAACACTATAGCACAGTAGCCAAGCTACCCCTTACCTCAACAAAGACTAACACAAGATATGAACTGACTACTGACAAACAGATAAAACCTGAACCATAACCAGGAGTCCAATCCATATCTAAATTACTATCGAAAATTTGATAAAAGTGTGCGGAGCGTCCCAGCCTGCTGCCACACAAACATCTTCTAAAGACACTCCTTTATGCCAGGCACAAACTGCATGATTTTCAAAGTCATGGGATCGCTGCTATTCTCGCACTGCACAACTGTCTTGGGTACCTTCTGTTGCTGTTGTGTGGACTCTGCACCAGTGGTTTTCAATCCTGGTCCTGGGGACCCATCGCTCTGCACATTTTGTATGTCTCCATTAGGGGTCTGCAGCAGAGCCAGTATTTGTATCGGTAACAATCGCAACATTATTTGTATCTGTATTCAGAAGTGGGTGGGGCTTTAACCGGAAGTTCGTACAGTTACTTGAGAAGACCTATGGTTTATGGTCTATGGTTTTAGAGCCATTTTTTGTAGTTATCACTGAACAAATATGCCGTGTTCAACTGAAATATTTATTTATTCATTTATTTATTTATGATTAGAATATTTATTTAAAGATCTTCTAACAGTCGGAGCCGATAACCTTGTATAGGCAGTTCTTCGAGATGTAGTGCGGTTGTGCTTTGGGCGACACAAGTCCCAAACCTTTCGTGATCCAATATCGCAGTTTGGAAATATGGAAATTGATATAAGTAATTTCCAGGAAATGCACGGGAAAAGGCAACTGCAACTGCTATTTTATTTGTGCTTATTTCATTCATAGAGTTTACACTAATTTACTGTACTTCACACACTTGTTATTGCGTAGTAATTTTAGACATTTATGTAAAATATACTTTCCCTTGACTGAATTAATTCAAGGCACACATTTTCATTATGCAGAACTCTTTAAGCGAGTCTTTTTTTGAAATTCACTAAACAAATCTGTGTGTACCACACAAACCAGCAAAAGATAA